TTGATGAATTTGATGAATGAAAAGCAAAGTCGGCAACCTGGATGGTTAGTCTGGGTCTCATGTGCGAAGGATCGATGATCGAAGCTTTGTTTGGTATCTGTTATTGACGTACGAAGGTTTAATTTGGTCACAGTGATTGTCGATGGTTTGGAATCGATGGTTGGGGAAGGCTATGAACTCAATCGTGTTTTCGATGATTTTGGATGTTGATATCGATTCGGTTTTGACGATTAGTAACGATCTGGGTTTGTACGTCGATAGTCGATTTGTGTACAACAGAAATAGATGTCGATGGTTGATTATTTGGAAACGCGAAGCGACGAGATATTCAATAGTTGATGTCGATGATCGGATTTTGGTTTGTGTTTCAAAGGCTATGAAATCGAAGGTTTGAACGATTTAAGGAAATCGATTTTGGGGTCCCTGTAATGTTAAGATTCGAAGATTTGGGAATCGATGGTTTGGTGAACTGGAACGATGTAAGAACGAAGAATGATTTTTGGGTTAAATGTATGAAGTGAAAAAAAAAATTGATTCAGAGGTATTCAGAGGTTACTGTTCATTGGATAGGCTTCGAATGCTTCGAATTCGTGTGTTTGGGAAAATTTTCGTATGAAGAGGAGAGAAAATTTTGGGGAAGATGAACATGCGAAGAGGAGAGAGAAAATGGTTTAATTTCATACGAAGAGTGTTGGTTAATTTCATACGAAGAGTGCTGTAATTTCGTATGAATGGAAGTAGAAAACAAACAGTTACAATTTTGGTCCCTGCTCTTTTAACGAAGTGGCATAAATGGTTCAACCCTTCGTATGATTGATCAAGTCTTCGTATGTTTTGATCAAAAAGCATATTTTTCGAATTCAGCCCCTGAAATTTCGAATGTTTGGCAAACTCCACAATTAATTGAAGTTTCGAATGTTTGACACTTTTCACCCAAATTCGAAAATTTTCTGAATTTTCGAATATTTGGGACAACTCTTCGTATGTTTGGAACACAAATGGCAGAATTTTCGAAAATAGTCCCTGAGGCTTCGAATGTTTGGCGGTTCATACCCAAATTTGAAAAGGACTGTTTTTGCTGAAAATTGAAGAAAATGCATTTCAGGCCCCTGCAGTTTGTGCAAATTGATGCTTTCTACCCAGCTTTGGAAAAGGGGGAGTGTTTTGCATATTTTGCTGTTTTAGGCGCACCGGGTCACTGCAGAATTTTGAAATTGACAATTTCTACCCATTTTTGAGAAATTTTGTCAAAGGCTATCCGTGAACGAAGCTAAAAATTCAATATTTTTTGGATTTTCCGGATTAAAGCACAAAGTTTATGCCACATGTTAAGGGGGAGTTTTGACACGAAAAATTCCGAATAGAGCACGTTCTATTTCCTTGGGAGTTTTATAATCAAATTTCGATTATAAAAAGGGGGAGAAGTTTTATATGGAAATTCGAACTTGAATTTTTCATATTACGCGGATTTGAAGACCGAAGTGATCTTGAAGTTTTGAAGCTTACGAAATGATGCAATTGGAAGTTCGGAAATGATTTATTTTCGAAATGGGTTTGGTTTTATTGAAGATTTTTGGGATGTGTTTTTATGCGCAACTTTTGGGTGATTATTTGGAGTTAATCATTCGTTGCTGCTCGATTTTGGAAGAATTGAAGTGGGTCATTCATTCCTAACTTTGAGGGGGAGAATGTTGGGGTACAAAGTTATTCATGATTGACTTTGTAATTGTTTGACATTTGTAAAACCCACTTGCATGTGGTGCATTAGCCTTTAGACCCATGTGTTAGTGAGAGTGAGAGAGAGACATGTAAACACCTCTATAAATAGTGGGTTCATACCACTTGTAGAGGTGTGCTTGAGAGGTGTAAAAGTGAGTGTGTAAGTGTGTGTTATTTATTTAGATGTAGATCTATGTGCCTTTTTGTAACACCATACATATTCAATACATCTCTTGAACACCCAAATCACCATGTTCATTGTGCAAACTTTAATTCCGCATGTCAAACCATGTTCTTATGCTCTACAAAAACTACAAGGAGAATGGTTGACTTTTGGAAAAAGTCAGCAACAAGACAATCGTAGTACTACTCAAAGTAGGAATTATGAGACGAAGAACACTTAAAACAGAAACCGTATGAGAGAGTTATGGATTTTATAAAATCATAATGGTAATAAAAACTTGTCGAAAAATGAAAGTCAAAACTAGCCAAAATGACCAAAAGTAAAGTTGTAGAGTACGGCGAGACCTACACAGATATATAAGACTGGTTGAAATGGAGTTCGTATGAGAAAGTTACGGAATTTCAAAGTTTGATTTTTACCGTCGCGTGCGCCCGCGCGCAGTGCTCTGCACACAATCTGACACTCGATCCGCCTAGATATGGGGTGACGTGACACAAGGAGAGGACGACACGTGACAACCCCCTATAGCTCATGCCCAAAGACGCGGCGTGCAAGCCAAAACCTGTTATAAATAGCAAGGCTATGACAAACCTCTTTCCCTTACAACTCACAACTCTCTCTCTCTCTCTCTCTCATTTTCTCGATCTATGTGCCACTGCCCCCGAGCGCCTCTAGAAGTTCAGACTTTTGATTTCCACCCTATAACAACGATATCATAACTCACAAGTGAGTTCACGGTCCCATTTTCCAAACCTTTTCAGGGGGAATACATGTTGAAATGCAACTAATACATAGTTATTACTAATTGTAGTTAGATAATTATGTTCATAACATTAGGATAATATTATGTTGGTAGATACTCTGCCCAACTTTTAAGGTTAATATTATGCCTAGTTGTTATACTAATGCATACTGATAGGAAATACCATATCTAGTTATTACGCTGGCGAGTTGCCAGGAAACACCGATACACTAGTCATTATTATAGTCACCCTTTGGATAAGCTTAGTACCTAGTGGTTATTCTGCTCAAATACTCAGCTACGCAAAACACACTAATTATATATATATATATATATATATATATATATATATATATATATATATATATGTATATATATATGTATATATATATATATATATATATAAATCAACTCGTATCAATACAACAAGAATAACAACACGACCGACCGGGGGAGGCCCCCACAACAAGAGTTAGATGAGACACGATTCATCAACACGCTGAAAGATTTTTAGCTAGCCCCCAGCCTATAATCATTAAATCTTAATTGAGTGGAAGAGATATGTATAGAACTATACATGATTAACACTCCCACCTATGGTTTCTAGCTACAACCCGATGGCAAGTGGAAGCAGGCATAACTTTCTAAACACATTTACGACGTCCAATGAAGCATCGTGGTTTTTTAGGGATCAAGAATCATAGCTCAGTCATAGGAACTCATTGTAACTTTGTTAAACTAAAACTATCTTAGACTACTACTACTAGGAAACAACCTAAGAAAGTAGTGATAGTACACACGAACTCGAGGAAGTGAGTTTAGGATAAACAAAATAGCTAAAATAACCACAAAATGTTTTATAACAATAAAACATGTGGACTCACCAACATTATGTTGACATTTCAAAAACCACATTTGTTCTTAGGAGAATGAACCCGGTTAAAGAGGGAGGTAACCCCGATGATGCAGCTCGAAGTCTATGTGCTTTACTTTTGTACTTTGCTTTTGTGACCTACATGTACCTCGAACAGCTTTGTAATATATTTTATTTAATGAATAAATAGCAATGTTGTTTAATATATCAGTGTATTACTCAATGTATGTCTATGGCCTGAAATCCAACATTCTAACGTCGTAGAGCCCGACATTTACGCCGCCGGCCGGGGGTGTGACAGATGGGTATCAGAGCTTCCGATTATAGCAAACTAGTAATTCCTTAGGAAATACGACTATAATCTAGGACTACACTCTAATTAGGTCTAATAAATTAAAAAGTATTAATATTAATTACACTTCTTCTTGACTACTTACGGGAGAGGTGACTAGTTTGAACTATCGCTTGGGTTGCTGGATTTTAGAACGACTATATGCTAAAATGGTCCTACCATCATATATTTCTCACCTGGCTGATCCTTACTTGATAGTCTTGGAGTACAAAACCCTAAAAATTAATAAAATATACACAACCCAACAAAGATTTAAAGATATAGAGCAATATAAATACGCTCACAAAAATATATATACTACCCACCAACACAAATCCACGAAATCACAACTTAGGAATTTAGGTTAAAAACCATGTTTAGAGTTGGTAGAATACATCGGTTGTACCACAACTACACCTAGAATACGCAACTAAGTTTTATTATGGTCCAACCGACGCACGACCAAACTCGAATATGGTGGTTGGCAAGGATTCTATAATCAAAGTTTATTTTAGAGGCTTCTACGTTTGATATTTCCGGCTTCACGACATTTACACTCAAGGATTTATGGATTAGGTACCATTATTCGTGGTTTACGACATAGTAGGGAGACTCGGGAACTATGGGTACTATCTATTACATACTTATAATTGGATATTATAGTGTAATTAATTGATCTTCATGTCTCTCATGAACATCTTTCCTGTTTGATGTCTTATACAGGTTTTCCAGAGAGTATAGGCTTGCCCGAGAGTATGGCAGGCACAGGATCGTGGAGTATAGTTTCCCTACCAACGAAGGAGGATGCAGTACATGGTGCTTCTGACCCTATCGACACACAACGATGATCGTGGCTTCTGAGGAGGAGCCTACAGAGGACAGTGATGACACCAAGCCCGACTATACTCCAGTTTAGCACCCGTCTGAGCCCGAATATACACCAGCTGATCACTCCCGCCCAGACCCTTCCATGCCCATTCATTCACCAGACTACACACCAGCTAGACTTGAGCTTCTCAGCTCCAGTTATGAGTCGGACGAGGACGAGGAGGATACCGCCACCTCACTGGAGATCTCACCACCCTGTCCCACTTATTCGCATTGATCTATCAAAGATCACACTACTAGTACTTGGGTGAAACAAACCCCAATGAAGACTACTGCTATCCCCTCTCGAAAGAGAGTAGCATCCCCACCCGCATCACCACCACCAACAAATAAATCGTGTAGAGACCCCACTTGGATGCCGCAGATTAGAGCTTGGATGCAGGAGGAGGATATTGACTCGTGCTTCGAGGTAGGGGAGTCCTCTACCGCACCTACCCCTACCCCGTACACTCCAGTCGAGTATGTTATGTACTTCCTTGTACCACAGACCGCCCATCACTCAGATTGCTTAGGAGCAATAGACTTTGAGATCTTTCTTTTGAGGATGACCCTAAGGCATCTCACAGAGCGAGTAAAATATCTTAAGGAGGAGAGGGATGTGATGGAGATGAGGAACCTACTTATTCCGGACCAGCTGTAAGAGGCGAGGGATGAGGATCTATTTCATCATCAGATCTTGGAGGAGGTGATCACTCACACCGACAGGTTGGAGCTTTAGGTAGAGAGAGCGGAGTCGAGGATTTCATTCTCGGATGTTTGGATAGATTACATTTATATACAACTAGTTAAGTTGATGGCTCTTTTGATTGTGTACTATGGATATTAGTTTTATTTTCTCCCTAGCACGATGGCTAGGATGGACATGCTTATACTTTTGGGTTAGAGTACTAGAAAAGTTTGCTAAACATACTTGTTTATTTTGTAATCTCGGAGCTTTTCTTACTCTAACCACGCCTTTTTGGTGGTCACATTGTATGATATTATGATGCATAATATACTTATATGGTTGTATGACATATATGTTGTTGTGTTATTGCTCTACTGCTTCATCTAACGCTAACACTAACACACCACGACATAACCATAACCATAAGGACACTACCTTACTGATGCGATGGAAAAACTCACGTCTCGACACTAACTTTAGGAATTTAGAAATGGAACCCCCAAGAATCAGTAGATCTAACCAAGGTCCCCAAGTAGATCAAGATGCCTAGTCTTCTCCAAGTAACCCACATCTAGACCATGCAACCATTGAAGCCATGGTTGAGCAGAGAATGGCTGATGCTCTAGGAACACTTGGAAACAATCGCCACACAAACTCTGGGATAGAAGCAGGAGGTAAAAGCTCCCAAGGAAACAATCAAGCTACCCCAAGTGTACGCACCTACAAGGAATTTATAAATAGCAAACCAAAAACATTCTCTGGAAATGAGGGAGTCGTAGGCCTCACCAGATGGATCAAAAAGACTGAGTCTGTTTTCAAAATCAGCTCTTGTATTGAGGGATGCAAGGTCAAATTTCCGCTTTCACTTTCGCGGATACGACCATGTCTTGGTGGAACTGCCATGTCAAGACCATGGGCCTCGCCAACACTAATGCCTTATCTTAGGAGCAAATTAAGCATAGGCTCATCGAGGAATATTATCCTCGAGAGGAAATACAACGATTAGAGAAAGAGTTGTGGAACCTGACAATGGAGTTTTCTAGGATTGGTTGGTTATTATCAGAGATTCATTCATGATTTCTCCAATATTGTTGTTCCTCTGACTCGCTTGACAAAGAAGAGTTCGAATTTCCGTTTGGGGCCTGAGCAGCAGGCTGCATTTGAGATTTTGAGAAGGAAGTTATGTGAGGCCCCGGTATTGATCCTCCCTGAGGGTGTTGAGGATTTTGTTGTATTTTGTGATGCGTCGATCACATGTTTAGGGGCGGTTCTCACCAAGCGAGGTAAAGTCATTGCTTACACATCCAGGCAGTTGAAGCCTCATGAGGTTAAATATCTGACACATGATTTGCAGTTGGGGGTAGTGGTATTTGCCTTCAAGATTTGGCGAAATTATCTTTATGGGGTCTGATGTACCATCTACACAGATCACAAGAGTTTGATATATCTTATGGATCATTCAAATCTAAAAATGAGGTAGCGCAGATGGATTGATGTGGTCAAGGCTTATGATTGTGAGATTATTTATCATCCGAGGAAGGCCAATACGGTCGATGACGCTTTGAGCCACAAGACGGTTAGTAATCCTGTCTGAGAGCACTGTTTGAGGATGAACATCGACTCCCCACTTCTGGATTTGATCAGGGAGGCTCAGGCCGAGGGATTCAAGAAGTAAACTTGGAAGCAAGAGAGGATCAAAGGGGAGATTGACAAATTTTTTACCGATAGCCGCAGACTATTGACCCGGTGTAGTCCGGTATGGGTTCCATTTTTTGGCGGGGTGCGACAGATAGTATTGGAAGAGGCACATCAGTCCAACTTATCGATTCACCCTAGAGCCACAAAGATGTATCAAGACTTGAGGTTTAGTTATTGGTAGCCCTGATTGAAGCGGGAGATAGCATGGTATATGGAGAGAGGCTTGACTTGCCGGATGGTCAAGGCAGAGAACAAGAGACCGCATGGAAAGCTTCAGCCTTTGGAGGTGCCCATGTGGAAATGGGAGCAGATCACTATGGATTTCATCACCAAGTTGTCGAGGAAGGCCAAGGGATTTTATGCGATTTGGGTTATTGTCGACCGTTTGACCAAGAGTGTCCATTTTCTTGCTATTCGGGAGAGTTCTTTGGCTGAGAAATTGGCCGATGTGTATGTACGTGAGATTGTCGCTCGCCACGGTGTACCGGTCTCTATTGTATATGATAGCAATGTTCGATTTACTTCTCGATTTAGGCAAAAATTTCATGAGGATCTGGGCACGAAACTGCATTTCAACACTACTTATCACCCTCATACTGATGGACAGAGTGAGCGGACCATTCAGACGCTCGAGGATATGTTGAGGGCTTGTGTCATCGATTTCGATGGGAGTTGGGACTCCTACTGTAACGCCCGGTTCCCGCTTGAAGAAAGAAGTGGAAGCTTGGTGGTTCTAGAAGAAGCAAGTAGATCCAAGGGTTTTGCTTCATCTCCAGCTCATTCAAGGTAAAAAGCTTCAACCTTGACCATCTATCTCTTAGATCTCTAGTTAGGACAAGTTTCTACCTTTTCTAGGCTTTAGTAGAGCCATTTCGGGATTTTTGTGGTTTTAAGGGGGTATGACTTCAGATATGGAACCATTGGGGGTTCCCATGGCATAAAGGTGCGAACTTTATGGCCATGTGAGTTCCATGCATCATATAAACCTCATTTTAGAGTCTTTTGAGCCAAAAACCCATGCATGAATGTCAAGATCATAGCTTTATGTGTAAAATGGACCCTAGGAGGCCAGATCTATGTTTTGGATGCTTTAAGACCACCTGAAATCGACTGAATAGTTTTGGACATAGAGGGACTCGGCGAGTCACTTATGTGACTCGGTGAGTCAGGTTGCATTTTCCCCAAAACCCCTTCTGATAGCGAGTGTGTGTTGAGTTGGAAGAGGACTCGACCAGCTGGGTTCATTATGGACCTGAAGATCATCGTACTCAACGAGTTTAAGGATGAACTCGATGAGTCTAAGGAAATATCCCAAACATATGAAGATGAACTCGACGAGTTCAAGGATGAACTCGGTGAGTCAAGGACTAAACACCTTAACTCAGATAAAGATGAACTCGACGAGTTCAAGGATGAACTCGGCGAGTCAGTTGTAGAAGGTCTCGACTTTGTTTAAAGGAGAACTCGGCGAGCCCTTGTAAGGCTCGGCAAGTAGGATTGACTCTTGGCGTTTTCATGATTTAGGAACTCGACGAGTTGTGGGGCTAACTCGGTGAGTTGAGTCAACTGGATGTTGACTTTGACCAAGGTGTTGAATTTGACTTGGACTTTGACCTGAGATGACCAGGAAATGGTATTTAAGGAAGATTGTTATGTATAGGATCTGAGAGGAGTTGATCCCGGCAGCAAGGAAAGTTCAGACACTCAGCTCTACGAGGTGAGTTACCTTCTAGTAGAGGTGGGTCTAAGGCACCAATGCCGGCCCACGAGTAGGTGTTTATGTATGAGATGATTGTCTTTGTGATTATTGTCTGGGTTGCCACTATCTGATATGCTTTAGGTGCTAGGATACTCTGTTATATGTGTGAGTAGTAGTAGGGGTGAAATAGTCCCCGGATACCGGTTGAAAGATACAGAAGGGGTAGTCAGTACCCATGCATGCCTAGCAGTATGTTTATGTTATGTTATTATGTGGTAGTGGTAGGGGTGAAATAGTCCCCAATAGTCGGTTGAGATAAACCAATGGGTAAGTCAAGAACCCTAGAAGGGCTTGACATGGGTAAGTCAAGCACCCCAGAACAGCTTGACATGGGTAAGTCAAGCACCCCAGAATGGCTTGACCTGGGTAAGTCAAGTACCCTAGAATGGCTTGACATGGGTAGGTCAGGCACCCCAGAATTGGCTGGCAGTATGTATGTTGTATGGTATGTGGTATGATGGGGGAACTCACTAAGATTCGTGCTTACAGTTTACAGTTTTGTTTTCAGGTACCTCTTCATCGAAGGGGAAGGAGCAGCCACGGTAGCAGCGTATCGCACACACACACCCGATTTCCGCACTATGATGTCCTTGGGATTATACTCTGACATTATTATTATTCTATGACATGTTTTTATGACATTTGACTTATGGGTTATGAGTTTGATATGATATTGATGTGGTTTTTCAGTAAATGGTTTTATAAACTACTTAATTAAAAAACGAAATTTTTGGTCTTGAAAATTGGGATGTTACAAGTTGGTATCAGAGCCTTGGTTTGAGGGATTCGGACACACCTTCGGGGGTGTTTGAACTCAAATCGTGGGTATGAAATGTTTTTACATGAAAATAGTTTTCTAAAAGTTTAAAATGAGGAGTTTTGAGAAAGAACAAGGTGTGTGATGCGTGCGACTGGCCGAGCTCAAGTAAGTACTCCCAAATTACCCATACAAGTTTATGTTATGATACGATTATCATCTTTATGAGAACAACATGCTAGATTAGGACTAAGGATCTAGGAAGGATGCCTTATGTGCCTATTATATGTGTATCAGCTTTATGAGAAATGCATACTAGTTTAGGACTAAGGACCTAGGAAGGATGCCTTATGTGCCAGTTATATGTATCTCAGCTTTATGAACCGCATGATAGTACAAATTAGTCAGTGATGGCCTGAATGTGATATGCTTGATTATGTGTACTTGATGCTTGAATGTTGCTTGCTTTGTGCTTTTAGGAGTTCTAGTTATCTTTTACTAACTAGTAAACAAATATGTTAAGTTACATATTGCGAGGACTAAATAATTTTAGAAGGTTAGGTTTAGCCTTATTTCATAGCTCTCGTTTGAGTCTAAACGTTGTAGGGTAGAACCTCTCATTCGAAGAATTATCTAGCCTTAGTAATATGTAATAGTATTTGCGAGCTAGTTAGGGGGGATAGCAGGGACTTCTTATGCAGCTGATGGCGGAGAGTGGGTTGGTGATTACCCTTGAGCAAGCCTAGGATGAGTTTAGCA